TGATGCAATTATTTTAGAGACATTTAAGGGATATAAAATAATGTGTTTTAAAGGTTAGTGGGAGTTAAATATTTTATTACTTGATATACAATGATAACATTATTAATAAGAGCAAGTTGCTTGGTTGCAACTGTGAAATTCTTCAACACATGTATTATGAATTATCTAGAAAATAATTCTTGTAAAAGGCGTAATTGCCTTTACTAAAGTTGATAAAGTCTTGTTACTCTTGTACTTTTGTGTTTAATTAAAGTTTAAAGATCATGTTATTTTGGGTAATGGATAATTGATGATTATTTTCATTAGAATATTTTATATTTGATGGTGTTACTTATCTATATGGATGACTTGTTTACAAAATTTGGTGGAAACAACATATCAAAGTTAATTGTTGATTTACTTTATAAAATAAGAGTGACATTAAGGTGAAATTATGAATAATGATTATAGTAATGTAATTTTTTTTACCATGTTACTTAATTTACTAATTAAAAGATGATAACTTAATTACTTATTTATGAGAATTGTTTTAGATATTCTTGATCAGCAAAAAAAAGCCAGTGGCAAATCAACCTCTCAACTAAAAACAAACGCAACTCAACCCTTCAACTCATTGTATGATTGCAAATCAGCTCCTGTTGCACAACTAACGTCAGAAACACGTTAAATCAAATGAAGACTTCATTTTAGCGTGCTCTGTTGATGATATGCCTCGCTCCATTGATGACAGGGCACTGAGGTAGAGGTTTTTATTCTTTTGGCATTGAATATACAATTTAGCCAAGATTTTTGCCTTTAATCATTATGGCTAGTGACCAAATAAAAACTGATAACATATTTTTTAAAATAATAATAATTTTTTAATTTTTTATTAAATTAATAATTTAAAAATAATGTTTGTCTTTATCGATAATTTCCTTATAAAAGAAACAAAAGATAAAAAAATTTATGATTAAATAATTAACTAAAGTGAATAGATGATGCACTAAAATCACCCTAACAAGTGTACTAGTCGCCCCAAGTAATATAATGATGAGAAGAGTGTCGAACCCACGAGGATTGTGTTTAATTAAGTACCAAAATAATTAATCCAAATTCATTTGAACAACCAAATGGGAAGAAAGTTTAACTAAAAAAAATAATAAAAGGAAAATAACAATTAAATTAAACCTAACCAATATATGAGATACTAAGGCATTGACTTCACCATAATCAATCAATATAAATTCTGGATTACTAAATTGTTGAGTGTTATTGCATGTGATGACGGATTTCCCTAAATTAATTAACTAGCTTTCTCAATTCAAGTTAATCCTTCACTGGTTTGTTAAATTAATCATATCTCTATGTAATTTTAAACAAACTAATGAGTATTAAATTCTATGGAAACTTCTAACTTAAGAAGGGGGAGCTACTAACTCTCTTCTCTTCCTTCACTACCACATGTGAGCTAATTACCTCTCGGTCTCATAGTCTAGCACACGGTTTATATTATTATTGGTCTAATCTACGCAATTCTTTTTCAAGTTCATGCATAAATCACTAAATCAATTGAAAGATGATCAGGCTTCCAATGCATTAAATTCAATAATATAAACTCATCATGCGAATAACTTTAATTGAAAATATAAAATCACAAAATCTATATTGAATTGATTTGGCTACATCATAGCCTTAATAAAATAAATCAGTTCATAATAAAAAGAATAAAATCTACAATCATAGTTAAGAACAAGGAAGAATAAAACCCAATTCGAGGAAATCGAACTCCTTGATCTTCTATTGTTGAATCCTCTATTTTGACCTCCAAGAATGCCCAAGAGAGGGCTGCCACAAGCCTCTCCAAGCTCTCTTCATTCTCTGAATTTGGATAGGTATTTATAGGATTTTAGAAACCCTAATTGAAATAGAAGTAGAACTTGGAACAAAAATAGGAAACTGAATTTTGGATGCTGATCGCGTGGTGCTAACACTTCGGATTACGTGTTGACACAAAATAGGAAACAGAATCTCATTCTGGACGTTTAACGCATGGTGTCGACACCCCGATCATGTGTCGACACTACACCCGTGTCGGGTTTCTGGTCTCCTTTTGCAATTTCTTCAATGGTAAAATAGCAGATTTGGTTCCTGACTTCTGGATTCTGCACAAGTTGATCCTCAAGTCTCTGATCTCTTCAATTTACTTCTAAAAAGTAAGATTTTTTCCAATTAAATCTTTTCATACACAAAGAATGAAAACCATGTAAAATCAAACAAAATCTCATAAAACCCATCCAAATATCAATAATATCAAAGTAAAAATTCTCTATTGATATGTATATAAATTTAGCTCATCAATAGATAATGATAAATTTAAAGTAGAAAAAATTATTTGTCTATTTAAAAAAAGAAAAAAGACAATTAATTTAAAACAAATTCAAAGTAAAAAATGACAATTATTCTGGGATGGATGAAATATTAGTTGAACTTTAGTAGACTTAATTTTTAATTTAAGGTATTTAAATTTACTTGTCTATTTTAGAATGCCATGTAATACATTTGTTCTTAGGATAATGATTGGTACACACTTCAGTTCAATACATTGCGTGATACACTCATTAAAAAATTACTTTTTTTTAGTCTGAAATTAAATATAGATAAATTTAATGATATAATTATGCACACAGAATACATGAATCTGTTGAATTGACTGTATTTATATTATATTTGTAATAACTAAATTGAGAGTGTGTCAAAAAATGTGTTGAAGCGAGGGTGTACCAATCATTTTCATTATTCTTATTTTACCTTTATTTAAAAAAAATAATTATAACATATATTAAATAAAAAGATTTATTAAAATAATAATTAATTAGAGATAAATAT